CAATCGGCAGGGGCCTGTGGCAATTTACAGTAATGCCGTTTGGTTTATGTAATGCTCCCGCGACTTTCGAACGATTGATGGAAAAAGTCTTACATGGCCTTTTATCAAAAAAATGTTTAGTATATTTAGATGATATAATAATTTTCGGTAAAACTTTTGATGAAATGTTAGAGAATTTGAATTTAGTATTTTCGCGATAGAGAGAAGCTAATTTAAAAATGAATCCAAAAAAATGTATTTTCTTTCAAAAAAATACGAAATATTTGGGACATATTATTTCAGAAGAAGGCATTACTACGGATCCCGAAAAGATTATAGCCGTGAGAGATTGGCCGGTTCCCCATACTAGAAAACAGTTACGAAGCTTTCTCGGTTTTTGTTCGTATTACCGTAAATTTGTGAAAGGATTTTCTTCTTTGGCAAAACCCCTTTATGTATTAACAGAAAATCAAGTTAAATTTGTTTGGGGAAAAGAATGCCAAGATGCTTTTGAAAAATTAAAATCAATGTTATCGTCTTCCCCGATACTATCTTTTCCTAAGGGAGAAGATGAATTTATTTTAGATACTGACGCGTCTAATATCGGTATTGGTGCAGTGTTATCCCAGAGACAGATGGGAAAAGAGAAAGTGATCGCTTATTTTAGTAAAACGCTTAGCAAGACTGAGCGGAATTATTGTGTGACTAGGAGAGAATTGTTAGCAATAATAGATTCCTTGAGATTTTTCCGTCACTATCTTTTAGGTAGAAAATTTGTAATTCGTACAGATCATGTATCGTTAAAATGGTTGATGTCTTTTAAAGATCTGGAAGGACAATTAGCTCGATGGCTCGAAAGACTTCAAGAATTTGAGTTCGAAATTATTCATCGAAAAGGACAATCTCACGGGAATGCCGATGGATTGTCCAGGCGATCATGTGAAGCTTTCGGATGCGAATACTGCGCTAAAGTCGAGACGAAAAACGCAGAAGAAAGAGAGAAAATGGTCGCTCGCATTATGCTTGTGGGAGAAAATCTGGAAGAGTGGCGTCGTGCTCAGCAAAAAGATCCAAACATTTCATTTATTATACGAGGGAAAGAAACAGGAAAAAGACCATTGCATTCGGAAGTTCCTACCAAGAATGTTTCGGCTCAGATTTATTGGTCTTATTGGGATTCTCTCGTTTTAAAAAATGGAGTTCTCTATAAGAAATGGGAAGCCCCAAATCTTCAAACTAGTTTCCTTCAATTGATAGTTCCTCAAGATCGGATCAAAGAGATTTTACAGGAAACTCATGATTCTCCGTTTGGAGGACATTTCGGAGTTAACAAGACTCTTGAGAAGATTCGAAAAAGATTCTTTTGGGCAAATTGTAAACAAGACGTAGAGAAGTGGTGCAGAACCTGCAAGATATGTATAGCAAAGAAAGGTCCTTCTGGAAAAGGAAAATCCCCTTTGCAAATTTATAACGTCGAAGCTCCATTAGAAAGGGTGCAAATGGATATCCTTGGTCCTCTTCCATTGACTAAGTCAGGGAATAAATATCTTCTTGTAATGGTGGATTGTTTCACAAAATGGGTAGAAGCTTTCCCTATCAAGAATGTTAAAGCCAAAACTGTGGCCGAAATTTTTGTGAGTCAGTTTGTTTCAAGGCATGGAGTGCCTATTGAGATTCACACAGATCAGGGAAAGAATTTCGAGTCTCAGTTATTTGGAGAATTAATGCGACTTCTTGGGATCAAAAAGACAAGGACTACTGCTCTTCATCCTCAATCAGATGGTCAGGTAGAACGTCAACATCAGACAATCATCAATTACTTGGCGAAATACATTTCTGAAAATCAGAAAGATTGGGATGAATGGATTCCTATGTTTCTTTTGGCATACAGATCGTCGAAACATGAGACTACAGGAGTGACTCCTGCCGAGTTGTACTTTGCTCGAGAACTTAGACTGCCAGTAGACTTGTTACAAGAAAGTCCTAAGATTGATGAAGAGAAATTGCCTCCAGAAAATTTTGTGGATAATTTAAAAGAAAGATTAGAGGAAATTCGTTCTTGTGTTAAGGAACGTATGGCTTTAAAGTCTTCGCAAATGAAAGCCAGATATGATAGGAAAGTTAGAACAATTCTTTTCGAGGAGGGAGAGAGAGTCTGGCTATATAATCCCAAGAGAAGTAAAGGGAAAGCCCAGAAATTGCAGAATAATTGGGAGGGTCCTTATTCGGTTATTAAAAGATTTAACGACGTGGTATATTGTATCCAAAAGACTCCTAGGCATAGGAAAAAAGTTGTGCATGCGGATAGGATAGCTCCTTTTCTGGAAAGGGATAAGGATTGTTAGAATAGATTGGAGCCCGAAAAATGTCTATTCTATGAAAGATTTAGAGGAAAATTTGAACAGATAAAAGTAGGGTGAATTAATTATTGCGTAATCTTCTTTTTCTTTTACAGAATCTCCGAAGAAGAGAAATTTCACTCGAGGGAGAGGTTTCGATTAAAGGAGTGTTTGCGATTCTGCTTTGGGGAGAAACGGAGTTTTCTGGATATGGCGGAGAAGCCGATTTTCGAACTGAGCTTTCCAGGAAGAAGGGTTTTCGTCTTCAGTTCATTCTACGAAGACTGCCTCTCTCGCGGTTTTTGATCCGTGGTTTTCCCGCGGGACTTCGGGCAAATGCCGAGGCAGGGACTTGGGGAGTCCATAAGGGACGATGGGTCCACGGAAGTTACCCCCCCCTTGTCTGAAATTCTTCACGAGGTCGCAGGAAAATCAGGACGTGGAAAACAAAACATCGAAGGTCGATTGGGTTTGAGTTGGCGAATCACCCGGTAACCTGTGGCAACAGCCCGGGGTAGGGCAGGATGATTCGTTAGAGCCCTGGAGTCGACGTTGGACTGTCAGTCGATTGGGACCAGAATGACGAAGTCGCTTGGTAACCTGTGGCAGCAGCCCAGGGTAGAGCAGGAAGGCTCGTCGGTACCCTGGAGTCGACGATAACTTGTGTGGATGTGCGACGGGATCCAGAATGGCGGATTGTTCGGTAACCTGTGGCAGGAGCCCAGGGTAGAACAGGAAAATTCGTCGGAGTCCTGAGGTCGGCATCGAAATGCAGAGTTATTGGACAGCGTTGGATAGCCCCCTGTTCCTGATTGTCGGGACGACAATCTTGAAGAAGGGGGGCAGTGTTACGTCCCTGGTTTACATCCCCTGAGCACCTTCATCCCTTTTCATCTCCTAGGAGGGTTGTTTATAGACAACCGGCGTTCAAATGTTTTAGGGCGCCATGATTAGATTTGGTCTAGCTGTCGCACCGAGCGGACGCTTACGAGACCGATGGGCTTTTTGGCCTATTATATATTGTATTTCTTCGCTTTATTGTATTGGGTCGTTTAATTAAAACTCCTTTCCTCATTACGAGAATTTATTCATTCCGGACGCGAGTGAGAGTGTGAGTGACATCTTTTTGTGAGACAGCGCAAGAGACGTCGCGAGGACGTAACAATATATACATAGAGTTTTCTAAAGTATTGTTAATGTAAAATCAACTCTCATAAGTAGATAGAGCGTGTCAAACTGAAGAAAAAAGTATTAGGTCATTTTGATAAATTTGTAATAATTATTAAGTTATTAAATAAATAAGATCGATCGATCCAAGCGCGCGGCGAGAAAAGACGTCCCACGTTACACGATACTCAGCACGCGGCGAAGCTGTGGTAGGAACGGACGATGGCTATACACGAGCGGCGCGTAAGAAGTACTCTTCTCATCAATTTAACACGCTCTATCTACTCACAAGAGTTGATCCGCAAAATCGGGGACACCCTGTATATTTGATTGATCGATTTCCTTACAGCCTTAAGCCCGTCAGATTACATATTGAAGAGTGTGGTTGAAGATTGAAATTTGACCAGTCACAACAAAAAAATTTTATCGTATTGGCTTCTGTTAATTAAATTTGAATCTTGAATTTTCAGTTTTCAGTTATTAATGTATAGTCTGATATGGACTTTACGGGGACGACTAAAATTTATTTTTTATAAATAATATTCCATATATAAGTATTTAAGTCACTCAATTATTGTAAATATAATCATAAAATATTTTTATAACTTCTGGTATATTTTTTCATGATTTTTATTTAGGTCCTCAAAATGCATATTTTGCTAAAAATATTGAGGACATTTTGATGTCCTCAACAGCAACAATGTATGCTTGTAAGTGTCAACGAGGACAGTCCTCAAAAACATCTGGTATATTTTTTTATGATCTATACTGAGGTCCTCAAAATGCATATTTTGCTAAAAATATTATTGAGGACATTTTGATGTCCTCAACAACAACAATGTATGCTTTAAGTGTCAACGAGGACAGTCCTCAAAAACATCAATGTACAGGTACATAATCGAGGACGGTCCTCAATGAATACAAATGTCCTCGAAAACTGTAATTCTTCGTAAAAAATGTCCTCGGAAACATCATCATATATATATATATATATATATATATATATATATAAGCTGTAAATTGTATATCATTATATACACGTGTTTTATATATTCATACGTATAGTAGATATACATATATTTATACACATATACATTTAGATGTACGTATATTATAAAAATATAAAACATCTTAAAAAGATATTGCATATTTATTAATTACATTTATAATGACGTATTTTCTACAATTAATATACATCTATAAGAAAAAAATAATTTAAAAACTACATTTCAATATTGCTTTCAATTAATACACATCTATAATATTTTTAATGAATATACATACGATATATTAATTATTTACAACTAATAGACATCTATTAGAAATATTTAACAAATTTCTTTTCTATATGTATAAAACATATTATATATGACTATTATAAACATATTACATGTTTATGAATTGCATATTTAATGACGAATGATATACGTCTAATAAACATCTATGAGAAGTTCAAAATCCGCGCATGCGTTATGCTGCGGACCATTGTGTGGTCCTTTGTCGTTACGTGCACACTCATGCTCGTGACTCGGACAGAAGCAAGTTGGAAAGCAAATAAAAAGCATAAGTACACGTAGTGTAAAGTGATAAGTTTTTCTACAGTCGGCATATAATCACATTAATCGGTAAGTTAATATATTATGTCGTATTAACATTTTAAGTCTTTTATATTCTCTAAATTTCACATGTTTCTAACAGAAATGTAATGAGGTTATATTAAGAACATATTAGTATATTTTAATTGGACGTGTATACGACTGACTGATCTTTGATTTGGCTATATTATTTATTATAAAATATATATAATATGTAAAAATTGTTTTAAAAAACTGTAAAAATATTTATTCAGAGAACATGTGAGAAAAAATAATTGAAAAAACGTCAAATAGACGTCTATTCGACATTTCTTCAACTATTATTTCTTACTGGTGCAAATCTCTAAAAGACGTTTTAAAGATATCTAGAAAATATATTTTTTTCTACATTTTTCAAACGTCTTCAACATGTTTTTTCGAAATTATTGCTGTTTGAAATATATTAAAAAATAATTTTTTGTGTTCTAAAGTTTTATTAAAATGATAAAATGCAAATATGTATATATTATATCTATTAAAAATAAAACTATATTTCTAGTAATATTAAATTCTGCAACAAATGAATAAGAAATTTAGTAGTAAAGTATATGCTCAGTTATTATATTTGTAGTATTTTTATGTTATGTGTGTGTTATTGTTTTATTGTTACATATTTCTGTGATCCTTGTTTTATTCTAAAAAGAAATAATTTTTTAAAAATATATTTACGCCTAATGTATTCATGTTTGTTTAGTTCTATAAATAAATATTAATATCTTTTATATTAAATACATTTCATAAATTAAATACATTTTATTTATATTTATTAGGTTATTGTAATAAGTCGAGGCTGATGCTGTAATAACTCTACTTTATTGAAGATTTGCAAATCAAGATTCTAATTCAAAATAATTTTCATTGGATTCAATATTGTTGCCAGCGATCTAAAGATTTCTTTATCTCTTCTTTAAAAAACGATTGTGGTTGAAATCAAATCTACTCTTGCATTCCGAAGTAACATTTTGATGTAAGTTATCATTGAATCTTAAAAATAGATCAAAACTTAAGAATGGATCGAAAGAGAAAAGCTGTCGAAAATGTGTCTCAAAGACATTTCCGACGACTTAAGGAAAAATGTTATGAACATTCTAAAGAGGTAGATCATGTTATCAATGTGTCAAATTTATTACCAATTGAAGAGAAACAGAATTCAGCTATGAATTCTGTATAGTTAAGTAATATTAAAGAACCGATATTATTAGAAGATAACAAGACAGCACAAAACGTAAATGATACAATAATAGATAATGACATTGTATTTCCACAAGATTCTGACAAAATATTAATTTCTTCATGCACAACCAACAATGGCAATTATCATTCTCAGAGTGAAATATGCACTGAGGCATACAATCTGAATTGTATAAAATTACAATTACGTCTATGGAGTCTATTAAACAATATTCCACATACATCTGTAACCAAGGGCGTCCGCAGAGGGGGGCAAACCGGGCACTTGCCCCCTCTAGAAAAGCAAATTTTTTCACAAATTTATGTTTTTTGAAGCTTGTTTGAAATTTCTGCTTAACAAATTAAATCATGTATTAATTTGTGAAAAATTATTAAAATTTGTTATAACGATAAAGCTGCCCTTTCATACAGCGAATTTTTCGTTGCGTGAATTTGCACTTTAATTTGTTATTCGCTAGCAGAGTTGCAAGATTCCAACCTGTGAGTCACAGAGTCATGGCGATGGGGAAGCACGCACACAGCGAGAAGGCATGTCCGTAGATGCCGGAGCGCTCACGGACACGTCTTCTCACTGTATGCGTGCTCCCCCACCGCTATGACTCTATGACTCTCGAGTTGGAATCTTGCAACTCTGGTCGCTAGGCGTCGCATGCTTACAGCGCTTTACTCGTATGCAAAGTACAGCCATGAATATTATAAGTAGACAGCTCTAGAAGCTGTTCGTTTACGCAGTGTGAGTTACGTTACGTGGCTCTTCTTTCTCTTACGCTGATTTTTAAGGCCCGCGACTATTTGCGAATATTAAAATTTTATACATTGATTAATTGTTTAATCCTTGAAAATGAATAAAGATATAAGATCGTTTTTTAAAAAACCCAGACTTGAAAATGATAGTTCTCAAGAAGAATCTTTTCCTTCCACCTCCATGCCATCAGTTAGTGTTTGCTCTTTCAATGATCCTTTCACATCAGTTCAAGATACTCTTACTGCCGATATAATCGTTTCTCAAAATTTTGAAAAATACGACATAGGACATTATATTAATTTAAAATTATCTAACGAGCAGAAATATGACGTAATGACTAATATTTGGGTTCCTTCGGAAAAATATAATTTTAAAAATGAAGGGCAACAGCGAAATTTTCGTGCCGATTGGTTAAAATTATATTCATGGTTAGCATACTCTGAAATTTCTGGAGATGGTTTGTGCAAATTTTGCGTTATTTTTAAACAAAATGTACATAGAGGTTTTCAAGGTGCTTTTATTATAAAAGCGTTTAACAAATATAAGAAATTCCACGAAGCTGCACATAATCACGAAAAATCACAATGGCATATAAGTGCCGTTGAAGATGGTACGAATTTTCTTCATATTATGCAAAATAAAAAAGTAAGCATTATTAATCTAGTTTCCGATTCCAGAGCTAAATTAATTGAAATAAATCGAAAGAAACTAGAGCCCATTATATCTACAATTGTCTTTTGTGGTACACATGATCTTCCATTGCGCGGTAAAAAATCGGATGAAGGAAATTTCAGAGATTTGCTGAAGTTTCGAATTGAATCTGGCGATAATATTTTAAAAGAGCACTTGAAAGGGCCAAAGAATGCTCAATACACTTCAGTGAGAATTGAGCATGAGTTAATCAACATTTGCGAAAAAGTTATTACTAAAGATATAGTGAAATTAGCTAATGCATCCGAAGGCTTCTCGATTTTAGCCGATGAAACAGCAGATATCGCTGGAGTTGAACAACTTTCATTTGGAATCAGATTTGCTTTTTTTCAGAACGAAAAATTGTCCTTGCATGAAGAATTTTTGGGATATGTTGCATTAAAAAAATTTGACGCTCATTCCATTGCAAATGTGATTTTGGAAAAATGCCAAAAATTAAATTTAAATATGGAAAAATGTGTGGATCAAGGCTATGATGGGTGTTCAACCATGGCAGGAAAAGAAAATGGAGTAAAAGCCATTATTCAATGCAAGTACCCAAATATTAATTTTATTCATTGTGCCTCACATAGATTAAATTTAGTAATCAATGACTTGAATGCACTACCAGAAATTCGAAACGCAATTGGAATAATCAAAGAAATAATTAAATTTTTCAGGGAGAGTAACATTCGAAGACAGTTAGTTCCTTCAATTCCAATGCTTTGTCAAACACGATGGTGTGAACAACATAAATCTATTCGTAAATTTAAAGAGGGATTTATAAAAATTTTGGACGAACTTGATAAAATTTCGAATAGTACAAGCGATGCTAAAACTAAGTCCTATATGCTCTATTGTGCTGCCACAAAGCCATCGTTTGTGATATGTTTATTTATTATTTCCAAATATTTAACTTTATTGGAACCAATTACACTTAAATTGCAAGATAAAGACATCAATTTAATTGATGCTCAAAATCATATTAAACAATTGGTTACAATATTAGACCACGATCGACAGAGTGATGTCTTTACACATATTTACAAAGAATGTGAGGATTTGTGCACCGAGCTTGATATTCAATTAAAAATACCTCGAACTGCTATTCACCAAACGAAAAGAGCAAATTATAATACAAATGACCCACATACTTATTATAAATTATCAGTATTTTTACCATATATTGACTCAATTAAAACTTCATTAAATACGAGATTTTCAGAAGAAAATACCACCGTTTTTCAGCTCTTTAATATCTACCCACAAGAACTACGTAAAGTTAATCACGATCAATGCAACAATATATTTCAATCTATCGAAAAGACTTACAAATGTAATTTAAACGAAGAAAAACGTGTTTAGTATCAAATAGTAAATTCAAACCCTGATTTATCTACAGCTGAAGATATGATTAAAGCTGCAAAATTTGTACCTAAGATACAAACTTTGCTTCTTAAATCTTTAGCTTTACCGGTAACTACAGCCACCATTGAACGATCCTTCAGTACGTTACGGCGAGTAAAAACTTGGCTACGATCAACCATGTGCCAAGATCGTATCAGCGGTCTTTGCATGCTAAGTGTACACAGAGAACAAATAAAAAAGGAAGGTCAAGAATTTATTAAAAAAATAATAGATGATTTTGCTCTCGATGATAGGAGAATTGCACTTGCATTTCCTAACACAAATATAACATAAAATTAAAATATAATTTTAAGATCAAAACGTATAATATATAATATATAAAAAAAATTAAAATTATTAAAAATAATTTAAAAACATTAATACATTTTTGTTAATTTTTAAAATTAAAAATAAACAACAAAATTTTAAAAAAAGTATAAAATATGTATAAATTACTAAAAAAAATTTCAATAAAATTTAAAAAATTAAATAAAAAACAATAAAAAAATATATATATAATTAAAAAAAAATAAAAAAAGATAACAAATCTTTCTCTGCATACACCTACCTTGTCGCGGTGAGAAAGCTTCTTAACGAAAAGGTGTATATGATTAAAGAAACAAAGAAATGTATAAAATTCTTAAAACTTTGGGATGGAAAAATTGCCCCCTCTTGAAAAAAATTCTGCGGACGCCCTTGTCTGTAACTTCACTACTATCAATTTTAAAACAACACCCATGTTTTAATAATTTGCCAAAACATGCAAAATCTCTTTTAAAAACTCCTCGTACAACAAATGTTTGTGAAATGTCACCAGGACAATTTTGTTATTTTGGCATTGTACCTATTCTTGAATCTTATTTTCGACGTTACGAAGATAAAAATGAAAATCATATAAAACTTCAAGTAGGCATCGATGGGCTTCCTATATCTCAATCTTCCGAAAATCAGTTGTGGCCAATACTTGGTTCAATTGTACCATTTTCTGAAGTATTTTTAATTGGCTGTTACTTCGGAATGTCTAAACCATCTGATTCTAATTTATTTTTAGAAGACTTTGTGGAAGAATGTAAAATTCTATATGGGAGCGATGTACTAAATAATAACAAAGTCATAAAATTTTCAATTCATAGTTTAATAGCAGATGCTCCCGCAAAATCATTTCTAACTTCAACTAAAGGGCACAGTGGATATCACAGTTGCTTGAAATGTAATATTGAAGGCAGTTATATTATGAATCGCGTTTGTTTTCCTGGTACTAATTTTCAAGAAAGGACAAATGAACTTGCAAGTAAACAATTTGATAAAAATTATCACAAAGAATATTGTAAACTAGTAGAAATACCAGATTTTGGTTTAGTTACCAACATACCTTTAGATTATATGCATCTAATATGTATTGGTGTTGTAAAGAAATTGATAAAATTATGGCTAAGTGGCTCTTTAAAAGTAAGATTACCAGCATTTAAGGTAAAACAAATATCCGATTCATTAAAAAATATAAGAAGTTATATTCCAAAAGAATTTTCGAGAAAACCTCGTAATTTGGAAGATGTTAGTAAATGGAAAGCAACTGAATTGCGACAATTTTTATTATATACAGGGCCATACATTCTGAAAAAAATTTTACCATTAAATATATACACAAATTTTATTCTTTTACATACTGCCATTCGAATTCTAGTATGCCCAAAATTACATATAGAAAAAGTTAATAACGCTGAAAAATATCTAAAACAGTTTGTAAGATCTTTCGAAAAAATATACGGCAAGCACTTAGTGTCCCACAATATTCATTATTTATTACATTTGACTAATGATGTACGAAAATTTGGGACACTTGACACATTTAGTGCATTTAAATATGAAAATTATATGAAAACTATAAAAGCCTTGATTAGAAAAGCTGATCGTCCACTGCAACAATTATGTAATAGATATGCAGAACTTAAAGCATGTGAAGATATTAATGAAAAATTGTCACATTTATCTAAACAAAAATTTCATGGTATACATTGTAAGGGACCTCTTCTCTATGGCTACAATAATCCTCAATATTCGAAAATATTTTTCGAAAAATATATCCTTACAACAGAAAGTCCCAATAACTGTTGTATTTTGAAAGATGATTCTATTATTTTAATTTCAAATTTTGCGACGTCAATATCTGGAAACAGTTATATAATTGGAAAAAAATTTTCCAAAAAAAAATGTGTATATAAAAGTCCACTACCATCATCATTATTCAATTGCTTTCGAGTTTCAAATTTATTGGAATTTGAAACCTGGTCTGTTTCCGACATTGAAAAGAAAATTATGTTATTTCCTCAAGGAAAATATTATGCTGCAATACCTTTGTTACATTGCGAAACATCATCGTATGTATATATTAGTAAAATATCCTTTTATAATACGTCAATATATTATTAAATAAAATATTTTGAAATTATATTTTTTATGATATTACGTCATATATTTAAAATTATTTATAGTTTATAAGCAAATTATAAGATTTGTTTACTATCTTGGCTGCTTTCACGACAGAATCAAAATAATCTAGATTAAAATGGTCCTGCACTGTGATTAGTCAAATCTGAAATTCTGTTGAATGAAATTCAATGAAATTTCAGATTTGACCAATCACAGTTCAAGATCATTTTAATCTAAATTCATTTTGATTCTGTCGTGAAAGCAGCTCTTGAATTTGATTTTATAAACTTCAATTTATTACATAAATTGAAAAGGCATATTTATGTTAACTTTATTTCATGTTTTTTTTATTGTTGACAGCAAATCTTAAAATTAGAAAAGCACTTATGATGAGCAATTAAAGTGTAAAATATCATGTAGTTGAATTTGAAGATGGGCTTGAAATTGTTCCATCTTCATGGGTAAAAGATAAGAATATATGCAAATATCCTGCAACTAAATCCAAGAAAAAGAAAGATAAAGTCGTTATCAATAACGTACAACCGGATTCAAGTTGGAAAAATTATGCCATTTTAAGGACATTTGCAGTATGCGGTAATGTATAAATTATGAATTGTTCAAAATACACATATTACAATAAAAAGTCGTAATAAATTCAAAATAAAATTATACATATGAGTGTGTGTATAGTATAATAAAAATAATATATGTATCTTTTTTATTGTAGACACTTATGAAGAAGCCTGTTTAAAATGTGATAAAGCAGAATATGTATCAGATATGAACACAGATATGGATGACAATGACAAAGAAAACAATTTTATACAAGAATTAACATGCCAAAACAAAGAAAAGTATATAAGAAAAGTATATAATAGTGAAATATATAAAAGTTCATTTGAAGGTATTAATTAAAAATATGTATAATTATTTTTATTCACTATTTCAATATAAATAAATTATTAAAAATTTTTATAAAATAGAAATATTAAAGTAAAGTTTCATGTATAAGTAAAAAAATTGTAATTATTAAGAAACAGTTCTATATATTAAAATTAATTTGAAGTGTATATCAAAGTCGCCAGTAATAGAAAAATGAGAAAAAATTATATAAAACGACCAAGACTGGACAAAATAATTCTTTATTGATTCAAATCATGGCGTTGCGACCTCTGGTTTAGGTCTTTATCAAATAAAAAAATATGTTTAAGATGACATTATAATTATAAATTGCGAGATGAGAATCACTTATAATATATAAAAACTTGTGTCTTATAAAACAACTTGTCAGTAACTGGCAAGTCGTTTTATAAAACAAGTTTTTATATATTATAAGTAATTCTCACTTCGCAATTTATAATTATAATGTCATCTTAAACACACTTTTTCATTTGATAAAGACCTAAACCAGAGGTCGAAACGTCATGATTTAAATCAATAAAGAATTATTATATATTTTGTCCAGTTTTGGTCGTTTTATATAATTTTTTCTCATAGTTCTATATATGTATGTGATTATAAATAGTTCTGATCAATTATCAAGTAATTTTAGTCGTTGGCCATTGTTTATAAAAGTTATAAACATATGAATCTTAATATTATCCTACGACCCTACTTGCATAAAAAATGAGGTTGGCAATCATTACATTTATTAACTTTTGATACAAACAAATCTTTACCTCACTGACCGATTTTCTGCATAAAACTTGATCTATAATCGTTTGGCTCCATTTGGAACTTCATGCGATATAATAACAGTACAGTCTCCTTCCTGTATACTCCACAATCCTATCAAATTTTTATTTAACCTTAAACTTCTATGAAACAAGTTTAATTACTATAGGTAATTTTCCAATATATAAACAATGACCAACGCGACCGTTCAAAGTCATTAAAGGTTGCTCAAAATCATGACAATGACTGCGTTCAGCAGAAAAAGCAGCTTTACAATTGTAAAATTTGTAAATCTGATTGGTGTATGCTCTTAATCTTAGCTGAATCTAAGAGCATCCACCAATCAGATTCACGAATTTTACAACAGTTGTAAAGCAGGTTTTTTTGAACGCAGCCATTGATAAGTCCAAATTAATCATTGAAACTGAATCCGTTAAAACAAATAATTTCATAATTATTAAATATACGTAATATATAATTATTAATTAATTAAAATTAATTATTTATTTTATGTAATATACATTTTATGTAATATACATTTTATGTAATATACATTTTTTACATAAAATTAAGAATTTAACATTGATCTTCAAGATTTAAGTATGCTAATGACAAACACAATAACGGAAATAAGAGATTTGAAAATAACCACAAATATTATGAGTACCGACATAAAAGAAATAAAAATGGATATTACAAATATAAAGATGGATATCCAACGCATGTGTGGTATAATTTCGAAATTAAAAGAAAGTCAAGATATTACTCTACCGCTATCAAAATGTACCGTTGCTTCACAAGCTGTTGTTGCTTTACATTCAATTTTTCCATTAAAAACGAAAGAGCAATTACATCAATTGGAAAACGAACTTGAAATCGTCGAGAAAGAAACTCAATTGGTAAGTTTTTATTTTTTTAAATTATAAATAATTAAATATTACATATATGCATTATTTATTATTATTTTATTGAAAATAGAGTGCGTTTTTTGATACAATTGGAGGACTTGATCCAAATGAAACAGTGAAAAGATCTCTAATAAAGACATTCAGTAATAAACCAGCCACTGAATTTTCATGGCAAGGCTGTAAAGAAAAATATAAATTATGTAATTTAAAAATAATGGACATAATGTATCGTAAGTAATAGAATATATCATTTCAAATAAATATATACATATAGAACATATTTTAAATAATAATAATTTTTTATATTGATGTAAAAATATCGTAAAACAAAATTATTATTACATTTTTATTCTAAATATTGTGAATACATTATCAGACTTGGTAATTAAACTTAATACATTATATAAAAAATATATATATACTATAACCGTATCGCGCGGAATTCGCAGCGAATATCCATTCGTCGCGGAAGGAGAAAAGTCTCCTGCGGAATATCGGTTACCTTCGGCGCGATCTCTCCGTTCGATCACAAAAAAAATTTGCAACAAACAAAAAAAAATAATAAAGAGAAAACTAAAATCTCAATTTAGTTGGGCGCCAGGTGCGGCAGCCGCACCGTCTCTCAATTAATAAATTCGCGGGACGCTAAGTCTTAATTTCCTCGGACCTCTTGTCCTAGCCCTTTCGCGGGCGTCAATCACGGGAGAGAGAGAGATCGCGACGGCAACTTTCCCGCTCGGCTAGCCTCTGTGCGGGTAAGGGTTCGGGTGCGTGGCGGCAAGAAATCACCCTAGGAATTAAAGTTAGTAAAACATATATTTAACTTTGGTTCACAAGACACATGAGTATATAATATAAAGAAATAAGCGGCGTGCACAGACGCACGATTGAGAGTTCGGTGGGGCACTACGCCCGGTGGTTCGCCGTGCCGAGTTATGAATAATCTTTAACAAATTCGCGGCAACAAAGTAGGGTCCCCAATAACGAAAAGACGATTAATTAAATCGGCGACGCGCCACCGGGTATATGGCTCCACGCCGCGGGCGCGTGATCCGCGCGGTATGCGCGACAACAAAGGGGCCGGCGTAAGGGCGCACCGCGTGCGCCGTACATAAATTCCACACACACAAAATCAAACGTAATCACGCCTTTTCGTTTAAGCCTTTACAACCTCAATACTTTACAACATTAATACTTTACATTATCAATACTTTAATGAGCCTGAAAGCGTTTATGAGCTCTTTGATTTTCGCTTCGAACAATAATCGGCAACGCGTAGTTCGCGGTAATTTTCGCGCGACAATGTTACGCGCGAAGACTGTCCACGCGGGAGAGAGAATATGCGGAAACGCGAGAGAGTGGATGGGTCGTAATTTCTCCCAATAGGGTCTCGCGACGTTACTAACGCGACTCGACAATAAACGAATCTCTCGAAAATTTTTAAAACGGCCGGCAACTAAGTCCAGCGTAATCTAGTAACGATAAATGATTCGGAACCCATCCACCCTACTACCTTAATTCGGCGACAGCAGGATGACCACGTCGTCTCACCAGTCCTATGACGCTCCTTGGCGTCCTCTCCTCTCTCGTTCTCTCTGAGTTGCGCTTCAGCTCGGGACTTCTGCTCTCCTCGGGCGCTCGCTAGACAGTGCCGAACCGGGGGCCCTCAGAAGACACGTCGGTGACCCAATTACGTAGATAGGCCACTCGCGGCGCTATCAGGTCGGCCGCGCGCGCGGCCTCGGTGATCCTTGCGGCCGCGCGCGTAATTATCCTTACCCGCGGAGTCCTGATCCGCGGGTTGCCCTTCGTAGGCGGTCGTCGCGGCAGCGCACGGCAGGGCCGCTCCTTGCTCTCCTTCGGGATTCCGGAAGTCCCGGGGGCGGCAGCTCTCCTGCCGGCGCTCCGTATGCGGGGACTCGGGTGCTTGTTGCACCCGAGTGGCCATCCCCTGTTCGCCCCTGGAAGGTACAAATTTTAGGCAGTGGCACCTACTCCGTTGTCGGATATTTGGTGAAGAAATTTTTAACCTTGGGCTTACCGGGCATGTCCCTGACGAAGGGGGTCCCCGTCGTCCTGCTTCCTATGCCTTCCCTCTTCTCCTCCAGGTTTTCTCTATCGGCTGAGACTCGTCGCACATCCTGTCTGCCGCCGAAATAATCCTAACTCTCAACAAAAAAAATATATGGAAACGCGTAGCAGCGGGTTCGCGTCCGATCCCGCGCTTTTCGCACGCACGCTCTCTCTCTCTCTCTCACTGTCTCGGGAGAGCAGAGGTCCCGTGCCCTCCCCCGATCGGGCCATTCAGCCCTTGTGACGGACAATTTCAATTTGTCACGTCACAACTCCCCCTTTCCAGAGAAGGACCGGGGGGAAGGTTCCGACCAGGAACCGACGCCGTCATCCATTCGCCTACTACTTACGTACTGTGTACCTTGAAACGATACTAGGGCGATGACTCGACAGCGGCTGATTTCTCTCCCTCCGCATCGACGGCTTTACTCTATTAATAGCGATTCTTGGTGGAGCGAACGGTCTCGCTCCAATGTTCACGTGGCACATGCAAAATTCGCAGAAGGGACGGACAAGAAAGGTCACTTAGCGAGTACGATTAGGTGGGCCGGAGGCCTCTCTCCTCGTTTATTAGTTATATTTATACAAAAAGAAAAACCTCAGCGGCCACCAATCGACAACAAAAAAAAAAACTAGTAAGGGCTAGAAGGAAAAGATCCTTTTCCTACTAGGGTTCCGACAACTATCTAGAAGCGAGGAAGGTGATAGGGTTTGAGGTCTTTTGCATGTACCTTTGAAACGATTCTACCCTCTACATCGGTGAGCTCATAAACGACAGGCGATAATATTTTGCTAACTCGAAACGGTCCATGAAACTTTGGCACTAACTTGGCGGCAAAATTTTTCGACGCGGCTGACAGTACGTGCTGTCTCTTGAGTACCATATCGTCGATTTTGTACGCGACATCGCGGTGTCTCAGATTGTAATACTGTGACTGCTTTTGATAGGCTTGTTCGAGATTCTCGGAAACCCAGTCGCGCAAAGGCGCAATAGCCTTCATACGATCTGACCACTCAGCTGGGTCTCTACGTTGTATGTCGACAACTTCATTATATCTTGCGCGTATAGTTTTCGGAGGCCATAATTCTCGTCCGAGGTTCAAAAACGCGGGCGAGGTACCAATCGAGGAGTGATGAGCGGTATTGTACGCAAAACGAAACTTTCCCAAGTGCTCATCCCACTCTCGGTGATCCTGCTCGATAAACGCGACTATCATCGTCTTCACGATACGATTCACGCGTTCCGTCGGATTCGCTTGGGGATGATACGGGGGAGTGTTAGTAATTGTGATTCCGTAATCCTTTGCGAAAGCTACTAGGGTATGGTTGACGAATTCTGTCCCGTTGTCGGTCAACAGAAACTTCGGCGTACCCCATCGCGACACGACTTCGTCTAACGCCTCGACGATTTTCTTACCGTTAGCTGCCCTTAGCGCGAAACACTCGATCCATTTTGTAAATAAATCCTGGATAACGAGGGCGTATGTGAAACCGGACTTACTTCGAGGGAACGGTCCCATTACGTCGGCAGCTACTACGGTCCAGGGAGCGTCGACAACGCGGTGGCCCATTAAACCCGCAGGGCTGGCCTGTTCTACCTTAGTTCGTTGACAAACCTCGCACCGTTTCACATAGTCCGTGATATCTCTAAACATGTTCGGCCAGTAATAACGAACGGCTAATCGGTGGTAGGTTTTCTCAACCCCGAGGTGCCCGGATCGCGGTTCGTCGTGTGCCTCTCTCAACGCGTCTCTCCGCAACTCTCTAGGCAACACGAGTTTCCACCTATCCAGATCCTCGACGATCTCCGACACGACCGGCTTCGGTCGACAGAAATATAGTTGTCCGTCCACTATTCTCCAATCGGTAAACGGACGCGCTTTCGTGGCGACTTCCGTAAGACGCTTCTTATACCAGGCATCGTTCGTGTTCGCGTTTTCTTCGACATCTACAGCGGCGACAATGGGAATCTCGGTGTCACCCTCGAACATTCGCGACAACGCATCAGGCACGTGATGTAGCGCGCCTTTCCTGTGTATGATCTCGTAATCGTACTCCAAAAGCTCTAACGCCCATCTCGCGAGTCGACCTGTTGGGTTCTTTAAGTTGTGAAGCCATCGCAGACTGCTATGATCGGTAATCACCGTGAATTTATAGCCCTCTAAGTACGGTCTAAACTTCTTTATAGCCCAGATAACGGCTAAGCATTCCTGCTCCGTCACGGTGTATCTCTTTTCCGGATCGGCTAAGGCTCTACTCGCGAAAGCGATTACGTGTTCTTCCTCGTTAATAGTTTGCGTAAGCACGGCACCTATTCCGACCGAGCTAGCGTCCGTCTGAAGGACGAACGGAATACTAAAATCGGGTCGCGACAACGTGGGCGCGGCAACGAGATACGATCGAATTTCCTCAAACGCGTGGACCTGTTCGTTGGTCCATTTCCACGGCTGATCTTTCTTTAACAGGCGCGTTAGCGGTTCGCTCCGCGTCGCGAATTGAGGAATAAACCTCCGATACCAGGACGACATACCCAGAAATCGTCGGAGTTGTTTTAAATTCGTAGGGGCCGGGTACTCGAGAATCGGCTGTGCCTTCTCCGGATCTACTGATAATCCCTCCTTGCTCACAATGAAACCGAGATATTTAACTTGTGCGCGGCAAAATTCGCACTTCTCGGGATTGATCGTTAATCCGGCAGCGAGGATCTTTTGCAACACGCGATCCAGCCATTCTAAATGCTCTTTGAAAGTTGGCGTCACGATCACAATATCATCTAAATACGCAAAAGCATGCGGTTCCATCTCCGGTCCTATCAGTCGATCAAGTAACCGTTGAAATGTCGCGGGCGCTCCCGTCAAGCCGTACGGCATCCGCGTAAACTGATACAGGCCTTTCCCCGGAACGCTAAAGGCGGTAATTTCGCGGCTTTCATTCGCGAGGGGCACTTGAAAGTAAGCTTGGCTCAGGTCGATCGTCGAGATGTAACGCGCCGAACGCAGTTTGTCCAGTATGCCGTTCATATTCGGCAGCGGGTAGGCGTCCTTTTTCGACACGTCGTTTACCTTCCGGAAATCCAAACAAAAGCGATACTTTCCGTTGGGCTTTTTGATCATCACGATCGGATTTGACCATTCGCTATGCGAGGGTTCGATTATCCCGGCGCGC